TAAGGTGTTTTTTTCCCTTTTTCTAAACACTTGAGACACACCCAGGTAATCCCCAAATCCTGGACTGGTAGGGGGTCCTGAGGACTGGGTTGAGAACCCCTGCATTAAGACGAAGTGGTCTGGATGCCTATAGTATCCCTTTTATTACAGCAGGTGTAGACTTTATACATATATGTTTATATAATACTATGAATTAATTTGACCACAGAGTTCCTTTTCATAGAAATATGCTCTTTTTGTTCAGTAACACTCACATTCTAACACCAAACCTTCTTAATTTTAACTTTTTCGATCTTCAATACTAATGGCAGCATGGGCAATAAATATACTCTCTGGCCTAGGATGGGTTCATATTTTCAGATAAATATCAAATATTTATTGTATACCTGTAGGTCAACACACTTTTGACAATAGTTTGTCAATCTTCATTTCTTTGTTGTTTTTTTTTTTTGTTTGTTTTTAAGCTCACTGCGTCAATATAATGAGTCATCAGTTCACATAAACGTATAAATTCATGTTTAAATGACTTGTTTCCATAGACCTGATTTTATAGAACAGACAAATACACAATTAATCAGTTTCTCTGAAATAGCAATTGTTTTCATGCTTAAAACAATGTAAAGAAAAAAGGTGCCTAGTAAAACTCATTTACAGGGTTACGGGAAATGTATTTTGAAGTTAAGTAGGTTGTGGTTTTATATTTCCTTTCTCTATTGCCCTCTTTCTTTGAGACATCTCAGATTTTAAATTGTTTAAAACGTTGCCATATATTGCAACACTCCCAAGTTCTGAGAATTAACCAGTCATTAAAAATGTATTTAATATTAAAAAAAGGTTAACATTATATAAGGTATATAATTATAAATAATTTAGTTTTTCACTATAGTTAGTTATATTTGGTAACGCATTTATTCATTATGCAGGCTCACTGTTAGCAAAGATAATCACAGACTTGCTGAGTTTACCTTATTTCCTTGTTTTTAATAGAGTGAAGCTGGATTTGGATGTAATCTGCTGGAAAGTCGGTTATTCTAAATACACTTTATTTTGTTTTGTCCCTGCTATCGAATGATCTTGCATTCACTGGGCAAGTTGGGCCTTGGTTAAATTTAAAGGGACACTAGAGTCACCAGAACAACTAGAGCTTATTGAATTTGTTCTGGTGAGTAGAATCATTACCTTCAGGCCTTTTGCTGTAAAAACTGTATTTTCAGAGAAAATGCGGTGTTTACATTACAGCCTAGTGATAACTTCACTGGCCACTCCTCAGATGGCTGTTAGAGATCCTTCCTGGGTCATGGCTGCCTAAAATGCATCCAAACATTCAGTGTCTCCTCGCTCTGCATGCAGACACTGAAATTTCCTCATAGAGATACTTTACTTTACATAGGACACGAGGCCATGAGTTTAGACTGGAAGAAAGAAGATTTCGTCTAAGGCAAAGGAAAGGTTTTTTTTACTGTAAGAACAATCAGGATGTGGAATTCTCTGCCTGAGGAAGTGGTTTTATCAGAGTCCATACAGATGTTCAAACGGCTACTAGATGCATACTTGCAAGAACAGAATATTCAAGGATATAATCTTTCATTGTAGGGTAATAACTGCTTGATCCAAGGATAAATCTGACTGCCATTCTGGGGTCAAGAAGGAATTTTTTTCCTAGCTTGTTGCAAAATTGTGCTTCAAACTGGGTTTTTTTGCCTTCTTTTGGATCAACAGCAAAAAACAAATGTGAGGTAGGCTGAACTTGATGGACGCAAGTCTCTTTTCAGCTATGTAACTATGTAACTATGTAACTAAAAAGATACATTGATTCAGTTCATTTTTATGAGGAAATGCTGATTGGCCAGGGCTGTGTTTGAATCAGGCTGGCTCTGCCCCTGATCTGCCTCTTTGTCAGTCTCAGCCAATCCTATGGGAAATCATTGTGATTGGATCAGGCTACCACTTCTGATAATGTCAGCAGACTGTTGTTTTTCTGAGTCTAACAGCATGCACAGTTACAGCTTCAGGATTGAATACAAAAATATTTTTACTATATTTATGGAGGCATGAGGTGCCCAGGGGGGCTAGATGGTGGTGTTAACACTATAGGGTCAGGAATACATGTTTGTGTTCATGACCCTATAGTGATCCTTTAAACTATGAATTTAAAGGAACACTATAGCGTCACAAATACAAACGTGTATCCTTGTCACTATAGTTCTAATAGTTGTGTTTAGGTAACCAGCACCTTTGTCAGCAAGTTGAAAGGTGATTTGAATCACCTTTTTCCAGCAATGCACAGGTTGCCTCACGGCTGGCTGCCTCTGCTCTTCCCCCTCGGCTGAGATCATCAGACTTGATGATCTCAGCCAATCCAATGCTTTCCCATAGGAAACTATTGGGAGGCTATCTTGCATGCATGGCAAAATGCCGGTCATAGACATACATTGAGTAAATGCATTTTCATGAGGAACATACAGAGCATCCATACAGAGAATGGAGACACTGAACGTCAGTGCTGCACATTAAGTCACTGCCACTAGAGGTGTTCCTAGGCAGTAATGCCTAGGCAGTGTCTCCATTATAATGCCTGCAGGGACAAGCAGTAGACATCAGAACAACTACATTAAGCTGTAGTTGTTCTTGTGACTATAGAGTCCCATTAAATAATAACAAGTAGCAATTATATAAATAAAGTATTAACAGGCTTGATGTCTCCCAAAGTTCACCATCTGATGGTATAGAAATGTAGCCTGTGCATTACGGTGATTTACTAAGTGGAGCTGCCGAAATTAACATAGAGGCATAGAGCCATTCATGGAATACCTGTCACAACTGAGGCAGGAGCATCATTTCTGGTGTAAATTCTGGCAATTTTCATAGGAGCATATTTTCTATCGCATGGCACAACTGATAAAGGAGCCTCAAAGTGAGTGCTAAACATAACCCTTAAAATCTGTTTGAAGTACTGCTGAGCCTTTGCTTTTAACCCAGTGATTAGCTCTGACGCCAAGTGGATTCTGAGCTTGCAGGACACAGAGTGAAAACTCTGGGTTTGAAAAGACCCTATTCATGCATGCCCCCTCCCTCTCATGTTACAATCTTGATGGGAATCTCCTGGATGTGACATCAGGAGAAAGAATACATATGAAGTTGGGTTAGTGGTAGGATTGGTGTTAGGGTAGGCATAGGGTTGCTGTTAAGGTTTGAGGTAGGATTATGAGTAGGGTTAGGTTTAGAAATAATGCGTATAAACGTTTAAAATTTCTCAAATAGTGTCAAATTATATTACAAGAGGATGAGTCAAGGGTCATCTCACTTGTGCCAATATGAAGTAACATATAACTTTAGCTTAATGAATCAGTTTGGTGTATGGATAATGCCATGCAGTCTCACTGCTGAATTCTCTGCCATTTAGAAATTATGTGCAGCCCTAGCCACATCTTCCATGGCTGTGACTGACACAGTTTCCACAAAAAATGGCTCAATTTTCAATCAAATCTGACAGGACAGTGCAGTGCAGTTTCTTTAGAACGCTTTATCTCCTGTACTATGACTTCTCTGCCTCCTAACCAATAATCATGCCCCAAGCCTTTCCCATTTGTGCCAGTGATATGTTAAGAGTTTCAGCTAATGCTCTCAGCCCATCACTGGCTTAAAAAGGACAGATGATAGGTGCCACAAAAAGCACTTTGGGGTTATATTGTTCATTGTCTGTAAGACTGCATCTAAAACCTCCAAGCACTATAACAACGTCAATGAGATGAAGTTGTTATGGTGTTGTGAAGTAGTTGTGTAAATAAAGTTTGTTTAAAAAAAAAAAACTTGAATAAGAATTTGTTGGTCGTGCCTGGCATTTAATATTTTGTTTCAATATTAAATGTACAAAAAAAAAAAAACACTGGAAAAATCTAGACATGCAGAGTGATGTACCATAACTGTGACATAATAAAATCAAATCACAATTTAACCCTGCACTCAGACTTCTATTTCTTTAGGGCGTCTGTATTTGCCATAATATTTTGACCCAGGATATACCATGTGGTGTCCATAGTCTTTAAAGTCCAACTAAATTATGATATAAAATAAAGTCATTAAGTGGTTAAGAAAAGTTTCACAATGCTATTTTTTAAAATTGTTTATCAGGAATAGTTATGGCAAAAGTCAGCTTTCTAGCTTAAGAGGAAAGAAGACCTGATTCGTTTTCAATTTACATATTGAAAACAATTCTTGGAATTAAAGGGACACAGAAAAAATAACCCAGATTAAGGGGATTTAATCGCATATGTTTTTTTTGGTAAAAAGTTTCCCCCCTTTATCGTGACCTTTGTTACACTATGGTTTATTTTGAGAATGGAATAAAGATTATTTTTTTAATAGTTTTATATTTACTTTCATTGCTGAATAATTTTGGTAATTGATGACAAATCTCCCTTTGATGTGGCTGAATGTCTTCATATCTTGATTATTAAAGGGACACCTTATGCACCTCCACCAATTTAAACTTAATCTAAACCTGTGACACCTAAACTTCATCCCCCCTTGCGTATGTGCATGTCAGCCTCCTTTACGGGCACTTCCAGAACAGCCCCTGAAAGTTAGGGTAGCTGCCATAACAGGTATAACCATGCAGAGCATGGTCACAGAATACAAGTATTTGGCTGCCCCAGTGGGACATGCAGTCCTTCCCATTATGCTGACAATGGGAAGACAGGGTGGAGGATAGGCACTGCTTAAGGATATATAAACAATAAAAAAACTAAGGTTTGGTAGCATAACCATCAGATCATGTTGTGTAGTTGTGGTGCTTGGAATGTCCCTTTAAAATATTGTCAGACATATTATGCTAAAAAATATGAATATTATTCTAACAACTATCCCTACAACATCTTAATTGCACTTAATGATGAAATTTCCTAGCATTAAGGCAAAAGGTCAGTTTCAAAAGGAAGGAAGTGCTTACTTATTTGTCTGTCTACTCATTTGTCCTCCAGTCTGTTGCTCATAAGTCAAAGCATTATCTACTGAGCGTATTGTTCAGAATGTTTTCTATTGAACGAAGGGCATAGAAAGCATTTAGGAAGAGGAGAACATGTTCTCCGTGGTTTTAATCATTGTTTTCAGCATTGCAAATCTTACAACCACGGCAGAGCGTGATGAGGCAAGTAAGTCGTCTAAACTTCGTGATTACTATTTAAGGAGTGCTGTAGTGTTAACCTGGTGTTACCTTTCTCCTGTTTACAAAGCAGCTGTAATGTATTCATAATGTTAGTTTTCATTTTTCTAGATTGTTTACAGTATCATATTGAATTATTGTTTATATAGATTTGAAAATAGTAGATCAAGACAGTAATTTTTTTCTTTGAAATCCTGCATTGGTGGTCCCTTATTGATCCACTTGGATTTATATATAGTTATATAATATTTTCTTATATCCTTTTAAAAATAGTCCATTCAAACTGTGAGTTAATGTAATCAAAGTGGCAAAAATTAACATACTTGCCAGCTGTCCCGATTTTCACAGAATATTCCTAGTTTTTGGTCTCCTGTCCTGCTATACAATTGTACTCGGTTCTGCATTTGAAAAATGTCATACAAAATAAATCTAATAGCACTTACACAAAATGCACTTTAAAGGACTTGTGACACTAAGCCACCACTTACACTCAGCTTGCATAAACTATAGATAGAGATAGGGTAAAAGTGGGCTTCTTTGCCTATTGTTGGTGCTGTGCTGTAAATAACCTTACTATTCCAAGGATGTGCTCCAGAAATGCTGGGAGATTGGTGATATAATCTGCAATATAAGCAATTGGTAGGTCTTAATTATATTGTTATATACGGTGGTACCTCGGTTTACGAATATAATGCGTTCTCCGGGACGTTTCTTATTGCAAAGAATTTGTAAACCGAAACGCGGTTTCCCATAGGAATGCATTGAAAACCAATTAATCTGTTCTGGAGGTCAGAAAAAAGTCAAAATGAGCTGGCATGGAAACCAACCCACAATGCAGAACACACAGTAAAAGGCATGCAAACGACAAAGCTCAGCTCCCTACCTTTCCACAGCTTGAGAAATGCACCAAAAAAGTTCCAAAAAGTCCCCAAACCACTTCAAAAAATTTCCAGAATGGCACCAAAACTCGATGCACAAAGCTGCCCCAACACCTCCACCCTCGAAGCCACGTGCTACCCACATACTTCAAAATGCACAGGGGTAGCAATAAAAACCTCCCAGGCTCAATGCATTCTGGGAAAACTTGCTTTGTATTGCAAAAAAAAATTGTAAACCAAGGCATTATTTTCAATGGATTTTCATTTGTAAACCGAGGCATTATTTTTAATGGATTTTCATTTGTAAACCAAAAATGATGTTAACAGAGGCGTTTGAAAACTGAGGTACCACTGTATTGGTATGGCTATAAGTTATATGACTAGGGTCATGTAGCAGAGACATAGTGTGTAGTACTTTGGAAACTAGTGGGTAAGGCCAACAATGTAAAACTGCTTTCTTGATTGTTCTGTTTCAAAGTGGACATTTTTTTTTAAGCTATAGGTCACTGCATTCATAAAAGTGTAGTTTCATTACAGCACTATTCAAAAGTTACAGTTAGTGTAAAGTTAGGATTTAGTGTAAAGTTAGGAGGTGTGAAATGTTAGGATTAGTTAAAGAAATACTGTAGTTCAACAAACTGAAGTGGTTGTGGTGCCTGGAGTCCATGAATGATGGTTCTGCATCAGTAATAAACCATTTATTTACTGTTAGGTAGAGATTCTCAGTGAAAGGCTGCATGCAGCACAGCCTCAAATAATGATAAGGTGCTATGCGTTATGCCATACCCAGTGGTGTATCCTGGTTTTGTGCTGCCCTAGGCAGGACAAAACTCAGGCGCCCCCCCCCCCTCCGCGACAGCCCCCCCCCCAACCCTTCCCCCCCGCCCCGCCTTCTACACACATTCACTGACAGATACACATACACTCGCTAACAGAAACACACACACTAACAGACACACTCACTAACAAACACACTCACTAGCAGACACACACACTCACTGACACACAGTCAGACACACACATACACACTAACAAACACAGTCAGACACACACACTAACAGACACACACTCACACTCACACAGTCAGACACACACTCACTGACACACACACACTCACAGGCAGACACACTCACACTAACAGACACACACACACTAACAGACACACACACTCACTAGCAGACACACACACACTAGCAGACACACACTCACAGGCAAACACACACTCACTGACACACACACACTCACAGGCAGACACACTCACACTAACAGACACACACACACACACACACACACTAACAGACACACACACACTAGCAGATACACACACACACTCACAGGCAAACACACACTCACTGACACACAGTCAGACACACACACTAACAGACACACACTCACTCACTAGCAGACACACACACCCACACAGTCAGGCACACACACACTAACAAAACACACACATTAACAGACACACTCACAGACATATACACACACTCACATTAACACATTTTTATTTACCCCCTGGTGGTCCAGTGGCTGCTGGGCTGGGTGGGCGGCTGGCGAGGGAGCTGAGCAGACTGCTCAGAGGAAGAGCTCCCCCACCAGCCGCCTGCCCAGCCCAGCGCCCAGTGTCAGTTAGCATGTCAGTTAGCCGCGAGGCTAACTAGGCATTTGCCCTGGGCATTTGGGGGGGCGGCGTTTTTTGCCGCCCACTGGAAAATGCCGCCCAAGGCAAATGCCTTGTTTGCCTCGCGACTAATACGCCCCTGGCCATACCAGAAGTAATAGGCAATGATTTTGAGGGAACATCATATAAGCGCTCCCAACCAATTACTGCCCCAATTCCTGGTATAAATTTGTATGGCACAAACCAGAAGCACAGCTCCTCCTCTACCATATCGTCATATTATTAATAATGAATCTTAAAGGGTCACTGTAATCAACAAGATGACTTCAGCTTGCCACAGTGGATATATTCCATAAATTGCCTTGGCATTGTCTCACAGTATAACGTCAACCTAATTTGGAATTGTTTGACAAAAACCAAGGCTATTATCAGCACCCAAAGATGACTCCATTTTGCAATATCCCTTTCATCCAACATGGACAGCATAGTTTAGCTTATAGTGCTGGGAAGTGTTTATTTTTCATTATCAATGCGGCCAAGGAAGGAGCAGTTTCGAGGCTCAGGTTTATGTCAAACTATTTCTTATGCAGTGCATGCTGTAAAACAAACAAATAAAACACACAGGTCACTAAATAACATTTGCCGTGAGGCCATGGTGATATTAATTAAGATTTTATATATAAACATAAAAATAAACTAGTTTAGCATTAACCCCTTAAGGACCAAACTTCTGGAATAAAAGGAAATCATGACATGTCACACATGTCATGTGTCCTTAAGGGGTTAAAGGGACACTATAGTCACCAGCACAACTTTAGTTTAATGAAGCAGTTTTGGTCTATAGATCATGTCTCTGAAGTCTCACTGCTCAATTCTCTCCCATTTAGGAGTTAAGTCAGTTTTGTTTCTGTTTAAACAGCACTAGCCACAACTCCCCAGTCTGTGACTGACACAGCCTGCATGAAAGTAATATGGTTTCATTTTTAATCAGATATAACTTAGCAATAGTGAAGACATTCTAAATTAAACAGACTGTGCAATAAAGGAAGGATAAACATTAGATGACCCTTTACATCACATGTAGGGAGGTGTGTCTAGGGTGCCATAAACAAAATTATCTTACTTCTAAATGGCAGCGAATTGAGTAGTGAGAATTCAGAGGCATTACCTGGACACCAAAACTGCTTTATTAAGCTCATGTTGTTTTGGTGAGAATAGGGCTCATTTAAACCAACATGTATTAGCCAGTCAGCCATATATAAAACTGAGTGCCTTAATCAAACAGATTCCAAAACAGTCTATTTGAAGGAGATCAACCTTAACCTAATAATACACCACAGCAATTAATAAATACTAAAACAACATTACATGTAAATATTCCTAAATATTTACAATTACATTTATAGGGTGGGGTGGGTGAAAGACATTGCTCAGAAAGTCGCTTGGCACAGGCAAGTAAAGGGGTAAAACAGTGTGTATATATATACACACACACACAAAGATTTTGTTTTTTTTCACCTTGATCTGCTATTACCATTCAACAAAGTCCCTTCACAATGAGTTTGGAGTTATGTCGGCAGGAGAGGTGGGGGCTGGACTGGAGATAGTGTGGGCGGGAGGAGGTAGGTTTAGAACTCAAGCAGGGAGCTAGAAGGGAGGTAAAGGCAGAAGCATTCTGTGGTGGGACGAGAGGGGGCGAAGCCTGAGGCACTCAATCTGATGGTTACTGATTCAGACATAACACTGGCCCTGGTCATAGCAACCCCCTAGTGAGGGGCACCCGGGGCGAACCACCCTTAGTACGCCACTGAGTCAAACACACAAGATTAATCCATAGGTACAAGAAACATGTAGTTCACAACATGGCTGTCAAAGGGGATGCAATTTACTGAAGGCTCGTTAATTTTCAGCAAAGACACTAAATGTTGTATCAATGTGTTCTATTACCTTTCAAGATAACATTTTTGTAAAAATAAATAAATCATACTTACATTAAATATTTGCCACATACTTACACTACGTGAATGCAGAAATCAGTCACTCCTGGTTTTAATGTGTTCTGGAGACTTCCATTAATTAGATTTTAGTAGTAGACAATCTCATCTTAGCTTATGCAGATGCAAAAGGGGAGGAGACATCATGTCAGTTTTGGTTAACTGGGGAGTTCTGACATTTTTTAACAGGTTATTTTCTGCTGAATGTTGACTATTTCTGTTGTCATCATTGTAATAGGTTCTGTTATGTCTTTGATATCAAGGTAACATTCATCATGTAATAAAGTTTTCACTTGGCAATACAAATTTACAGAACTTACTACAATGCAAAATGTATGAGGGTTTGGGTTGTGCAAATCAGCATAAGAGAGTGAATACTGAAGGTGCACTTTCTTCCCCAGGTACCTCATTGAGCTAGACAGGTGAATATCAATCTCCACTTAATGCAGCTCTATCACTTTTTGGGATATTTGCATATATTGCATCTTGGTGTGTGGGGGCTGAAGCGAGAACCTCTATCTTAGCTGAACCACTATCTTGCAGGAACTCTCATCTTTCTGTTGGTGTCGCTCTTTAGCTCCTAGCACTTCATCCATTATAAGCTTTGTCACTGTTGTACTCATGTATGTGTGCTTTAGAGCAGTGCTCCTCAGTCCTCTCCTCAAGGCACACCTAACAGTTCAGGATTTAGGGATTACCCAGGTGTCTCTAAGGTGTTTAAAAAAAACAAAAAAAAAACACCTTAGACACACCAGCGTAATCCCAATCCTGGACTGTTAGGTGTGCCTTGAGGATTGGGTTGAGGAGCACTGCTATAGAGGATGCCACACGGCTGTGGTCATGGGGAAACACTAAAAGAACCTTCTTGCAGAGGGACTTGACAAAACCTGACAGTGGACAATCTGTCATTTGTTCAGTTTTGTCAACTTAAGACCATGCCATAAGACAAAGTAGTCCCTACTTTGCCTTATGATATTTTTTGATTTAGCTAGCATTTCAACAAAACTCCAGTGCAGTCAATATACATATTTAATAGAGATTACATCTGTATGGAATTACTCAAAAGTGACAGAGTTTATGAGAACACTGGGAATGGACATCAACTCAAATAGCGTACCCTTCAGTGCATCCTTGTTTACATCTCATACAAGTTTTAGCTCACTTGTGCCATTACAGAACGAACTTAAGCCTGTAGTAAAACACAGTGGTCTACAGAGGATCCTGCAAGATGGTGGTCATCTTGTGATGCATGAAAAGAAGCCTTCTTGCAGTGGTAATTGACAAAACGTGACAGATGAAGCTTAGAGCTTTACAAAAGACAAAGTGATCTCTACTGTCTTGTTATATTTTTTGATTGTGCTTTCATGAGAGAACAAATAGTGCCTAAATGTAGGAAAGTCGGGCTTGAGGATGCATGCCATGAAACTAGAACTTCATTGAAGATATAGTCTGGGCACAAAAAGCGGTATTCTTAGCAGACTTTATTCTGGAACAAAATAAAGCAATGTTTTAGCTCATCTACTGAACCTTTATCAAGCATGTAACAAGAGTTTAACAAAATATTAAAGAGCTTTATTGAAACGTGTACTGGAGATCAGGTCTGACAGGGGAAACATGTACAAAAAGAGAAAAAAAACAGCTGTACCAGTGTTGGACCCTGACGTCCTTATTTATAGGTTTATTGGATTGTTTCTGAATAAAGAGACCAAAATGTGTAAAGTTATTTTGACTTTCCCTGTCATGCCTTGCATTCAGTACACATTTCAATAAACAGGGTTATTCACAAAAGTGTGAATTCAAAGTGAATTTTAAATTTAAAGTCAATGTAGCCAAATTGGAAAATTCTGCAAGTCAGATATGCTTTCAAATCGGCTACTCTGTTCTTAAAGGAACCTATAGGGACAGGAATGCAAACATGTATTCATGACCATATAGTGTTAAAATCACCATCTTGCCCCCCTGTTCCCCCGGGCTCCTCCTAACCCCTCTAAATATAGAAAAATCTTATCTTTATTGCAGTCTGCCACTGCTGGCTCTGCAGCTGATCTGCCTGCTTGGCTGACATCATCAGAAGTGATGTTCTAAGCCATTCACAATGCTTTTACATAACAAAGCATTGTATTGGCTAAGCTTGTCAAGGAGGCAGATCAGGGGCAGAGCCAGCATATGCCAAACACAGCCCTGGCCAATCAGCATCTCATCATCAATGCATCATCAATGCATCTCTATGAGAAAATAAAGTGTCTCCATGCAGAGGGAGGAGACACTGAATGTCAGTGCTGCAAACTCTGAAAACACAGTGTTTACTGAAAAAAGCCTGAAGGGAATGATTCTACTCACCAGAAGAAATGCGATAAGCTGTATTTCTTCTGGTGACTATAGTGTCCCTTTCACTTTGAATTTCACTTTGAATTCTCAGTTTACTGAATAACCCAGATTTTGTTATTTTGTACTTGTTTTATGGCATGTTTTTAAAGCTTTGCTTTTCCTTCATTTCAACATAGATTTGTAGTCTCTGCTTTGCATCTACCGAGACTCTGGTAAGTCTCATGTTAATTGCATCTATCCACAAATAAGTCCAGTCTTTCCTTCAGTTTAAAAAGTGCAAGGGAACAAACAATGTAACATGTTTTTAATCTGGTCTTAGTTTAAGGTCTTTGGCTCTTGGCTAAAAATTTAAAATGTTAATATTTTTGCACACATTTTCATTAATAATCTACTTTTAATTCTTGTTTTATTTTTTCTTTTAGATCCGAATGAGGTTGTACAACCATACTTTTTGGGTGAAGAAAATAAAGTTGAAGAAATAGAACTGGGTATTTATAACTTTACTTCTACTGAACATTGCAATTGAGACTAGGTGTACAACTGATGATTTAGCTTCAATCACTTTCATCTTCCTCTTTCTTTATCTTTCCCCTGCTCTTTTACCAGTGCAGTGCTACTGTTAGCATTACATCACGTACACCTACTCTCCATTCCTCCAAACTATAACATGTCATGTTATTTAACTATCCCTTCTTGGCCCCATGTGGACACTAAGATGGCCCTATGGGGCCACTAGGGTGACCTGATGCACCATTGGTGTACCATTAAAGGTGCCATTTTAGGGGTTAATCTCCCAGGAATGCCCTGGGAGATTAGTTTGACTTCTTACCTGGGGTTCTTCAGGTGTCACTCTCATCTCCACTGCCAAAGTTGGAGAGCAGGTAGCTCCTAAATAAGAACTTCTCTTAGCTCTCCTGAGCTAAGCTCAGTAATGTAAGGTTTCGCTCATTGACTGAGAGTGCCAGTTCTACTTTGATAACCTTAAAACTGTAATTGCTGTATAAGCGTTTCACATCTACTACACAGCTGACACATTTAGAATTAAAAACTATATACTCTATATACATCAAGCAAATGCATTCTGTATACAGGCAGAATATACACTCACAGGACTTCCAGAATGTGATTTATAGTGTAAAACTCCAGATATTAAACACAGTAAATATGCAATTCAAGATTTCGACCATAGCGTGTCTTGATAATGGCCTTATTAATATAAGAGTCCACAGATTACTTTGAATCTAGTGCTCAGAAGGGTCCATATCCTCCCATTGCCTGGCTCTTGTGTGGCACAGAGCCATTCATATTTTGTGAATTAATCCACATAGAGTACCTAAGGGGGTTATTATTTAAATCTTGTTGCAATATTTTTTCTATAATTTTTTCAGAAAACTACAAGTTGCATAAGTATACAATTGTAAGTTTTTTTGCACACCATATATTTACAGTTTTACTAGAAGCAGTAATAGGTGATTAAAAATATTTTAGCAATACTAAACATTATTTACACCATACATAATAATACGTGGAAAAGAGAGTGAAACCCTCGGTCAATATTAAAGGAACACTATAATGTCAGGAATCACTGTCCAAGAAGGGTGTGCTAAAGTGACTAAGTGCAAATACAGCAGGCTTTTTAGTTTTAGATACATGAATCTAAAGCTAAATAGAAGGTTGAGTGAGGACTGGAGGTTCGGAAAGGTAATTCGATTACCCTTGTGAATCAGTTGGGAGATGTGGGTTATGCCAGCATCTTTCCACCTTCTAGATGTCAACCACGGTTACAATGCCATCACAGACATCAGGGCAGTCGCTGGGAGAGAGTATTTTGGCGAAAAGTGCTTATGAATCCGGAATGCCAAAGAATGAAAAAGAAGCTCTAAGTTTGCATGGACAGCGGACTAAACACGTCAAGCGAGTAAATTCCATACTTCAGAGATCTGAAACAGGATAAGGCACCTGGAGTCACATCCAGAGGGACTTTTCCTGTTTGTTATATGGTGTGCTGACCGATATTGGAGTTATATCAGCCCGGTGAGGGCAAAGCTTGCACACTTTGTTATCTGTGTGTCTTGTTGTCTGTGAGTCTATTCTAACCCTTTTCTTTATGCTATATTTTAATGAAATACTAATATATATATATATATATATATATATATATATGTAATTTGTTTTCCCCTGCTATATCGCCTAACTAAATTGGAGGATTTCTTTGGTCTCTAATACACATTATATTGTGTCTCATGTGTAACAAGTGTATTGTAACCTTCTTTACAATATATATTTTTTCCACTTTATTTTAGGGGGTGCTGCCATCACTATTTTTTTTTTTTTTTTTTGGGATATTACAAGTTAGGCCTGGATTTAAATTGATAATGTTTTTCATACAAGCATCAGCAGCAGTATAATTAATCCTTGAATTTTGGATTGTGATCACTTTGTGATAATTGCTGTGAAGTTCCAGCTAAATGTTAGAGAGTATTATTGATTGGTAGCTGACACTAGATTATAATATGCCTATAAAATAGTAGGACAAAATAGGATTATTAAAGCTGTTGTTTTTAAAGGATAAAAGCATTTATTACATGTAGAGACAGATTGAGTTTCACATTCCAAAACGTCACTAATTTAAATTAGTGAAATTAAAGATGTGCAAGCTTTTCTTTAAAATTTACAAGTCTCTATTTTATTTTTATATTTCTTGTTAGGACAAAATCTGACTATTGAATGCAAAGCTTTCTTTGGATGTAGCGACACAACACTTGTTGACATGTACTGGGTACAAGTGAAACAAAATAAAGATTTACAAGACAGTGATGACGACAAGTTTTTTGAAACTTGTGAAAAGATGATCTTTACAACATGTGAAACTAAAATGATAAAAATGTAAGTAATAAACATATAATATATACGTATAAGCTAAGTATCTATAGAGTCACCTGGTATGGCACCCTAATGTTTAAGTAATTCGTCATATCTATTGTAGCAGCATTGGTCTTTTAAACAATCAGGACCTTGAGAAGGATTTTCTGAACCTGCTCCCAGGTGTCATGTCGGGTTGTTAGATGCTTATCCAGGACATGCAATTACTTGCCATAAAAAGGACTGTGTTGAGAAGAATATTGGGTTATTATTGGCACATGGGGACAGGTAAGACCAATTGTCCTGATGTTATGAAATAAAACAGTGTAGATACCGTTCCAAGGCTTGGTTGGCTCTTTTGGCTGCACCATTAGTTTCAGGATAATAGGTAGATCAGAAGGTCAGCTAATATCCATTTCAGAGCAAATTGCCATCCAGAAGTGTGACACAGATTGGGTACAGCTGTCAGAAATTATATCATTAGGGATAATGTGAAGTGAAAATACTTGTTTGGCAAAAATGAAAGCCAACTCTGAGTAAGAAGGTAGGTTAGGCAATAGGAAAAAGTGAGCCATTTTTGTGAATTTGTCTACTTCAATTAATATAACAGCATTGCCTCTTGAAGAAGTTACATTTACAATGATCTCAATGGATTGGCTGGGCCAGGGTCTATTATGGACAGGTGGTTGTTTGAGTACAAATTCTAAATGTGTGGAGATTTAACCTGGGGAGACGTTTTACCAGCATTAGCAACATCGCCTGAAGACAAAGAAGGCCACCAGAAATGTCTTAGTTATATAAGATAAGTAGTTTTCCAAACCCCCTGGTTTCCTGCTTCTTGCTAGAATTGAATTAATCCAAGAGTGGTTATATTTCTTGAACAGGAACAAACAACTTGCTAGAAGGGTTGAAGGTAGGTGCAGGCTGTGTATTTTCCAATATTATATAGTCTATATTAAAGTAGCAGTGCCAATGATTCATACCTTAGGGACTATGGGAGATGGTTCTGCCTCCTCAACTTCAATAGGTTCATGTTGCCTAGAAAGAGAGTAGGTCTTAGTGTTTCTGTAAGTAATATTGAACTTGATTCATGATAAAACCAATAACCAACATGGTCTGTATAGATGTGAGTCTTTTTTACGTCTGCATTATACACGTGATTCTTGAAATACCGTGAGAACCATCACAGGAGAAGCAGAGCCCTCTAGCACGTGTCTCCATTCTTTAAAGGCCTGGATGATTTTCAAAAGTTCTTTTTCCCCAGTATTGTATCTTTTCTCTGCACAAGTAAACCTTCTGGAGAAATAACCACAGGGATGGGAAGTGAGATCAGGGGATTGCCTTTGTGACACAACAACTTATCCGGGGGCCGGCCGGGGTCCTCAGCTCGAGCCGAACGCGGCTCAATCACCCCTGCCTCCACACGAGCCGCCAGTGGCTCGATCTCCTCTTCTGAGTGGGCCGTGTGCACTGACTGAAGTGAGCAGTCACGTGGCCTGCCTGGCACTAGGAGTGCATCTCGCGTCACGAGAGCGCTCTTAAAGGGGCAGTGGAAGCCACAAGTGGATTCAGGCCCATGTCATTCAGGCACACTCACACACGCATGTTTTGGGGGCGTAGGCATGATGTGGGCCAATCAAATTTTAGTTAAAGGATATTTAAACTTCCCTAGCCCTATCCACTTTGCCCTATTGTGGTTTTTGTTTCAGTACCCTTTATCCTTGATCTATTGTGATTGTTCTGGTATTGACCTTGGCTTTGTTCCTGACTCTGAGTTTATCTTTTACCTTTTCCTGTCTTGCTTGCCCGCCTGACTGATTACCGTGTACCTGACTCTAGCTAGTTCTCGTTTTCGCTGTCTTTCCGTTACCCTGACCTCATCTTGTCTCTGATTATGCTTTATCTATGTCTAACATTTAATCCAGCCATTCTAATGTCCAGTAATACATTATATCCTATTCTTGTCCCTTGCTATACTAAACTCTGTGTGTTGGGGTATTTCACCATGACATTACGATAGGGGCATGGACCCTGCAGGTTTAGGACAGTAAATGGCCACCTACGAGGTGAAGTTTGAAGAGCAGGATCACCACATGGACCAGATGGCCCAGGCGCTTCAGACACTTTTGTCCAGAACCGCATATTTGGCCCCTGAGACATCGGTATCCGTACCATCTCAACCCGTTCTTCCCATTCCAGAGGCATCTAACCTGACTAATGGATCAGCACACCTGACTCGTCCTCCTAGGTATGTAGGAGATGCTAAGACTTGTAGGGGGTTTCTCAGTCAAGTGTAATTCCACTTTGAGATGTATCCCCGATCCTTTCCCACCGACTGGTCAAAGGTGGGGTTCCTCATGCATCAGCTCACCGATAGGGCACTTGAGTGGTCTAATCCCATAGGGGAGGCTAATGGTCCTCTGGTTCACAATTTCCAAGGTTTCCTTATAGTTTTCCACAGGACTTTTGACACTATCAACACGGCTAAAAATGCAGCTAAAGAATTGATGAGAATCACACAGGGATCCAGGTCGGTTGTTGACTACGCTATCCAGTTTTGTACCCTGGCTTCTCTGGTAGACTGGACAAACAGCGGGCTTGTTACAGCATTTATGGTAGGTCTATTAGATGCTACATTGGATGAGGTAGCGACCAGAGACCTCTCTGTAGCCATGGAGCATCTTATTGACTACCTCATTGATATAGACAATAGAATTCATGATAGACAGTACACCAGGAATAGAAATAGATGCCTTACTGTATCCGTTATGCCTAAGGTTGATGTTCCTGAGATTTCCACTTTACCAGAGGTAGAACCTATGCAGTTAGGGGTTGCCAAGTTTACTGATGCAGAAAAACTGTATAGGAGGAAGGAAGGACTCTGCCTTTACTGTGTCAAAAAAGGCCCAATGTGAAGAGAGTGTCCCGTTTGGCCAGAAAACTCTCGCACCTAAGACTCCGTAGGGGACCAGCCTTGGGTATGACATCAGAGTCCCCACATTTGCCTCTAAATAGACTGCATCTCCCAGTTTCCCTGCATTTCGACAGTTAAATAGACAGTTTAATAGATATACGGAATGTTCTAGCCCTGGTTGACTCCGGTGCGGCTGAGAACTTCACTGATTTCAACTTTTTCAACAGGGTTGTTGCATACTGAAATGATTAAGTTCTAGGTCATTTCTTCTCCTTCCCAAATCGTATTAGGGTATCCTTGGTTGCTTTTATACAATCCCATTCTTAATTGGGAGTCAGGTCTAGTAGAATCATGGAGTACCAAATGTCATGAGTCTTGTTGTATCACCAAAGTTACTCCTTGGAATTCTATTAACGTACCAACAGCTCCTCCTTTGTCTACTGTTATACCTCCTCAGTACATGTCTTTAAGAGAGGTATTTGACAAAAGAGAAACTGAGAAATTACCACCCCATACACCATACGATTGTATGATCGATTTACTACCTGGTACTATACCTCCCAAGGGGACAGTGTATCCTTTGTCTCCCCAAGAGAACCTTGTCATGGAGGAGTAAATCAAGGAATCATTACAGCAAAGGTTTATCAGGAGATTCTCTTCTCCAGCTAGGGTAGGCTTCTTTTTTGTATCTAACAAGGAAAGTGTAGTCGTATTGATTACAGGGGTCTTAATAAAATCACAATAAAAAAATGCCTATCCCATACCATTGAGCATTGAGAATGTAATTGTTTGATAGACTTAAACAGGCTACAGGCTACAGTATTTACCAAGCTGGATCTCCGGGCTGCCTACAATCTAGTATGTATTAAAGAGGGTCATCAGTGGAAGATTGCCTTTAGCACCAGGAGTGGTCACTATGAGTACACCGTGATGCCCTTTGGTATTCCAAGCAAATGTCTAAGGCTGAAAGAAACTACGGTATCGGCAACAGGGAACTTCTTGACATCATCATAGCACTCAAGGAGTGGAGGCATCTTCTGGAGGATTCAAAGGATCTTGTTATCATTTTTACAGATCATAAGAATCTTTCTTATTCAAGCGAATCTAAGAGGTTGTCTTCTAGACAGGCTGGGTGGTCTCTGTTTTTATCATGCTTCAATTATGTCGTTACCTATAGATCTCGTGACCGCAACACTAAAGCAGATGCTCTGTCTAGGCAGTTTAGAAAAACTGATAATAGAATTTAATGATACTCCTGTCATACCGCCTGACAGGATTATCACTACTACTCTTCCCTCTATTTCTTTGTCTATCTTACAAATTATACAAACCAAACAAAACAAGGCACCAAGGAAAAAAACCTGCTGATAAGCTATATGTTGCTCTCACTGAAAGACAAGAGATTATATCACTCTATCATGATACCAAGACAGCCGGGCATCCTTGGATCCCTAAATCTTTAATTGCAGTTTTACAAAACCTTTGGTGGCCCTCTATCCACAAGAACATCACCGATTACATACAAGCATGTGTCACTTGGGCCAGCATGAATTCCTCCCATTTTGTTTCACTTGTCAAGTTACCTTCGTCCAAAGATTTGCCTGCTATATTCACCAGAGAGGTGTTTAGATTACATGGCATACCTGATTTTATAGCGTCCTATAGGTGTCGTCAGTTAATTTCCCAGTTCTGGAGAGCCTTTTGTTCAGAGATGGATATTTTTCCTCCTAGTCTAATGAAGCTGCTGAATGTGCCAATCAGCACCCAGAACAATATCTTTGCTGTTTTGTTTACCACTATCAGAATGATAGTGGGCTTAATTTGCTTGTAATGATGCTGCTCACAAGTCTTCCAGTCCTTTATACATTGTTTATGGTCGGCATCCTGTTGTTCACCCCTCTGCATTCTCTTCACGGGGTATGCTGGTTCTGGACGAACATTTGGCTGGTTTGCATAAAACTTGGGAACAAGTTCAGCATTCCTTGGTGGATTCTGCTTCTTGTCAAAAGGTACAGGGTTATAAGCAACGTAGAGCAGCTCCCTCCTATGTTGTGAGGGACAGGGTTTGGCTTTCTACTCGTAATATCCATCTCAGAGTTCCTTCTATGAAGTTGGCTCTGTGCAATATAGGTCCTTTCCGCATCATGTGCAAGGTTAATCCCGTTTCTTATGCCTTGGACCTTCCGAGGAATATGCGTGTGCCCAATATGTTCCACACCTCTGTGTTGAAACCTCTTCTTTGTAACCGGTTCACCAAGCCTGTTTCTCCCCCTCCTCCTGTCTCTATTGAGGGCCAGGAGGAGTATGAGGTGACTGTTGTGCTTGATTCCCGTCTCTTTAGGGGCCGTCTCCAATACTTGGTACATTGGATCGATCTCCTCTTCCTTTTGTTTTCCCCCTCTTTTGATTTTGTGTGTACTTTTTTCTTTCTCTTTTATATTTATTTATTTATTTATTTTTGAGAGTTTCTTTTCCCTTTTTGTCTTATCAACTTCCCTTCTCCAGTTAGACACTCCATATTTTTCCTCCCCTCAGAATTGGAGTGTACCTTTTTGTTAAACTCATTGTCTATTTATATGCAGACACAAACTGCAATTTAAAAAGCAACATGTGTGGGAAATTAAACTTCAATTTCCATTCTAACTTGTGTGTGTCACTTTGTGTGTCTGTAACAAGGCCAAACATTCAAGGGTATGTAAACTTTTGATCAGAACCATTTTGGTGATTTCTATTATCATTATGAATTAAAAAGGAGCCATACAACTATTTGGTAATAAATGGCTTCATATGATCCCTATCCTTCAATAATATGTTTTTGGTTTTTTTGCATGATCGGTTATATTTTCTAAATCAATGCCATGATTTTACAATTTCTGCCAGGGTATGCAAACTTTTGAGCACAACTGTATTCTGATATGCTCTGCCACCATCAGAAAATCAACAAAGCAAGTAAAATGTGATCTAATTGTTTTTAGAGTTGTTTTGCTAATTGGTACTAATATGAATAATATCTCATTTCAATTTCTAGGAATCAAACATGTAAAGTATTTGCTAGCACTAAATTATACTTAATAAACATAAGGGAAGACAATGTTAAATATAATTATAACTGCAAAATGGATACTACTTTTGGAAGTAAGATAAAGATATATACTCTCAAAATAAAAGGTAGGTAATGTGTTTTTTTTTTTTTTTTAATCCTTTCGTGATCATCTAAAATGTATGACATAGAACATTTGTGACCAGTTATGTATTTGCAAAGTTAGGAATTCATTGTCTTTCTTATAAAACATATGGAAATGGGAACTCCCATTTACTCCTTCCTCACAGCAAGTTTGGAGGAGTAATTTTATCAATGAAATCACCACTTAGAGGGCTAATTGTTTCAAATGGTATACTTGAACAAAATGCGTTGACATCACTTTACCTGAGCACCTTGCATCCCTGTTTGCTGTAGCACCCCTACAGAAAAGCACACACGCCTTATACAGACCGTTACAGTGTTTTCCCATACCCCTGTCAAATGTTGTTGCCATTGAACCAGAGCGGTCCTCTTTCAGAGCCCTCCCTTTTTGTCCACAAATTACTTTATTTGCTACTGGACGCTCTTTCTTTACTATTGTCACGTACCTGAGTCTGGGTCCTACTCACTAGTAGCATCTTGTGGATAAGAGAACATTTAATACTCTTTAGGTTACTGTATCCAGACATTCGCTTGTATGGTTGTTTCACACTACTGGCGCTTTTACTCCACATGCGAGTAGTGGGCAAATGGTGTATTAAGTGTCCTTCTTATTTCATTTTATCTATTCATTTTTTTTTATATTTGTATTATTTTTATTTGCTTAATAATGCTCTATATTGTTTATTTACCTTTGTTGTTATAAGTATCCTTTTATGTATCCCCGAACAGCAATCTACACACAAAATTGTTGTTTATCCTATGTTTATGTGCTAGCAATGCATGCCTTATTTTAAATAAATATTATTTGGCAATGAAGGAATTTTTTTCTGGAAACAGAGAATTGTACTCTTTCACGTCAGTAAATTCTATAACTCAATATATTTTTACATTATTTAAAAAAAGCATAGCAACATATTTATATGTAAAATTATAAGTTGTTGTTTTGCAATGTATTTATTGTTATGCCTCTTTCCATCTAGAAAAAAAATCAGATATTTCACAAGAAGTCTTCATCCCATCCATCACTTGCTCTATCTGCATAGTTCTCCTAGTAATTGTATGTGTCTTATTAAGGATTGACATTGTTTTATTATACCGCAGTATAACAGGAAAAGATGAAACCATTGCAGGTGAGTAAGCCATCTTTTATAATTGTAAAATATAATTCGTACAGTTATAAGTACATTAATACTGAGTATATGGTAAATCATGTAGGTTTTAGGTTGCAATGGGTCAACTACTATAGGTTTGAGGTTAGTAGAATTAGGGCTAGAGAGTGACCCTGAGAACCATTCTCACTCAATCTGAAACTCCTCGAATATGTCATTCTTAGAACCTTCCCATTCACCTTGAGACTATGCCCATTCATCAAGAAGTCTTGCCTATTCCTCTGATTACTTGTTATGTCACTGACGCCCTCATCCAATTCCTCCCTGTTCAAGTTACTGCTGCCCCATCCACCGATTTACACCAGATGTTACTTACCCCATAGAGTGCTAACCTGTCACTGCCCATATCACTTTTTCCAAAATCCTCTCCCTCTTTTATCATGCTTCTTCTGCCAGATCTATTCCAATCTTTCTGAAATTAGTTGCTCATTCCATTTTTGTCCATTCATTAAACCACACTCAAATTCATCCACGCACATATACATATGCACACTACTCTAAATACAGACATATACTAGCACATTTACACTCACACATAATTTGAAACACAGAAGCACTTGTTCAGGTGGGTTGCCAAACCCTCTTAAAGGGTGGACCTGTCATGAAATATTACAGGTGGTAATTGCATAGCTCACGCACAGCGAAAGCAGAAATAACACTACTCGTTAAAATGTTTTTTGTTGTTCCCCAGCTGGTAGTATCCAGACAACCCAGTCTTCATCAATACACACCTGAATGAGAGAAGGAGAGAACAATATTTATGTAAATACTAAGTTTGCTACAAAACACACTGAAAGTATTTCTGAATATTGGCACTACCAGAGTTTTAATGTCACACTCATCATGACATCACATACGCAAAGTTTTCTTTGCCACGTAGGCTTTTTCAGATACTCTATGCTCCTCTCTTGCCTTTATGCATCTTTACAGGATAAGTGCTGTCTTATCTGCTAATCAGACTTTGCTTATTTTTTTCTAACAAGCTGTTTCTAAGCAACCAATCTAAAAAAATACAAATTATTTGTTTTTCAATGGACATAACAAATAACCAAACAGTTTCATTACACTACATTATAATTACATATAGAATGTGTGCATTATCTTAGAGACAATTAACAAATCCCATGTATTTGAAGGGTTTATATATCACATTTAAATATTTGTGCATAAAACTGGGAATTACATATATTATATATAAATATAAACTAAATAAAGATTTTTCACAATGTGTTCCTTAAAAAAAAGATATGTCTGTTTGCCTGTCTATCTACCTACACAGAGTAGTTTTATAAATGTATCTATTTGTTTTGTAAATTTTTTACAAATTTAGTTTTTTTCATATTGACCATATATACAAAAGGTACAAATGTGAAAATAATTTAAATCTCTTGTTTCAGAGATTAGATTCCCCCCCTCAATAATTGTATTTTTTCCCACTGTGTATGGCTTTAACCACACTGTGAAAAAATGTCACAACATTAGAAAACAGATTCACACTTCACTAACATATAAACGTTTAAACCACATGCAATAATAATGTGTTGCACAATTTCCCGCTGTGAACTTCTCATCTACCCTTCCCCATGCCTTCCATACATTCCTTCCACATCGCTACTATTAACTCCAGCTGCCACTTTAGAGACACAGATAGACAAGCATAGAAATTACAGAGAATTGGAAGTGAAAATAAGGTTAGATAGACAGATAGCTAGAGAGACAGACCCTTCCTAATTGCTACATAAACAATAAACTAGAAAGGTAGCTAGGCAGATACAACATGCAGAAAGAGAGACAGATATACAAGGTGGGCCAAAATTCAGAGTGAGGTTTTGGGAATCAATAAAACATTTTTTTTTTTTTTTAATGAACCAAACAAATAGAGATTTATTTGACTAGATACAGATGATGACATCTTTTCAATGCACTCAATTTGCTACCTCACAATATCGGGCTCTTTTGATTGCATTGTCCATAACATTAGAATATTTGTTAATGTTTGAGGCTGTAGCGCTCAAATTTCTGCCCGATAACTTACTGAAAAGTCTCCCCAAGCCAGAAGTGCATTAGATAGGGTGCAATTGGCAATAATGAATTATCCGTAGATTTTCTTTACCTCAGAAATTACAGTTTTGCTTATTGACAAAGCCAATTAAATGAAAATAAGATTAGTCAGACTTTATGAGTTGATGAATATTTGCATTGTGGTTTTTCTGGCTAATTCGTTGTTCCTTGGTGAAATTACCAATGATGGATCTCCCAAGACTTCAGTTATAATATGTACCTTCAACAACAAAAAAATAACTACTAACAAATAAGTAATTTACAGTCAGGTCCATAAATATTGGGACATCAACACAATTCTAATCTTTTTAGCTCTATACACCAACACAATTGGTTTGAAATGAAACAAACAAGACGTGCTTTAACTGCAGACTTTCAGCTTTAATCCAAATCAGGTGAATGGTGTAGGAATTACAACAGTTTGTATATGTGGCTCCCACTTTTTAAGGGACCAAAAGTAATGGGACAGATTAACAGTCATAAATCAAACTTTCACTTTTTAATACATGGTTGCAAATCCTTTGCAGTCAATTACAGCCTGAAGTCTGGAACGCATAGACATCACCAGACGCTGGGTTTCATCCCTGGTGATGCTCTGCCAGGCCTCTACTGCAACTGTATTCAGTTCCTGCTTTTTCTTGGGGCATTTTCCCTTCAGTTTTGTCTTCATCAAGTGAAATGCATGCTCAATCGGATTCAAGTCAGGTGATTGACTTGGTCATTGCATAACATTCCACTTCTTTCCCTTAAAAAACTCTTTGGTTGCTTTTGCAGTATGCTTCGAGTCATTGTCCATCTGCACTGTGAAGCGCCGTCCAATGAGTTCTGAAGCATTTGGCTGAACATGAGCAGATAATATTGCCCGAAACACTTCAGAATTCATCCTGCTGCTTTTGTCAGCAGTCACATCATCAATAAATACAAGAGTTCCATTGGCAGCCATACATGCCCACGCCATGACACTACCACCACTATGCTTCACTGATGAGGTGCTATGCTTTGGATCATGAGCAGTTCCTTTCCTTCTCCATACTCTTCTCATCACTCTGGTACAAGTTGACCAGAACTGTGAAGGCTTTTTTAGATGTTGTTTGGCAAACTCTAATCTGGCCTTCCTGTTTTTGAGGCTCACCAATGGTTTACATCTTGTGGTGAACCCTCTGTATTCACTCTGGTGAAGTCTTCTTTTGATTGTTGACTTTGACACACATACACCTACCTCCTGGAGAGTGTTCTTGATCTGGCCAACTGTTGTGAAGGGTGTTTTCTTCACCAGGAAAAGAATTATTCGGTCATCCACCACAGCTGTTTTCCGTGGTCTTCCGGGTCTTTTGGTGTTGCTGAGCTCACCGGTTCTTTCTTTTTAAGGATGTTCCAAACAGTTGTTTTGACCACACCTAATGTTTTTGCTATCTCTCTGATGGGTTTGTTTTGTTTCTTCAACCTAGTGATGGCTTGCTTCACTGATAGTGACAGCTCTTTGGATCTCATATTGAGAGTTGACAGCAGCATATTCAAAATGCAAATAGCACACTTGAAATGAACTCTGGACCTTTTATCTGCTCCTTGTAAATGGGATAACGAGGGAATAACACACACCTGGCCATGGAACAGCTGAGTAGCCAATTGTTCCATTACTTTTGGTCCCTTGAGAAGTGGGAGGCACATATACAAACTGTTGTAATTCCTACACCGTTCACCTGATTTGGATGTAAATACCCTCAAATTAAAGCTGAAAGTCTGCAGTTAAAGCACATCTTGTTCATTTCATTTCAAATCCATTGTGGTGGTGTGTAGAGCCAAAAAGATTAGAATTTTGTCGGTGTCTCAATATTTATGGACCTGACTGTATCTGTCAAATAGTACTCTGAATATTGGCCCACTCTGTATGATCAGACATGTAAACAAGCAGAAGGAGATGGCTAAGAATGCAATGAACAAAACAGAGACATGGAGGCAATATCATCCTGTCAGCCAAACATAGTAATAACATGCCTCTGCTGTCTTACAATGATCATTGATCCTGGGAGCCAATCTACTAATCAGTGCACTGTTAGCTAATGTTAGGGCTTAGTAAGGTTAGAATTAGCTAGGGTTAGCTAAAGTTAGGTTTAGCTAGGGTTTGACTAGCAAGGGTTAGATTTAGACAGGGCTAAACTAGTGTTATAGCTTAACGAAGGATAATGTCATTTCACCAAACCGCAGTCCAATGAAAGAAGGGCCATGCACAGGAATTGACGGACGTAGACATAGAGATAGACAGACAGACAGACAGGTAGGTAGGTAGGTAATCTTCTTCTTCATCAAATCCCACTTTCCGATTATCATTATTTTGCAGATGGAAAGGAGTATGACGCTTATGTATCTTGTGTTTATGATTCATCCAATGATGTGGAAGAGAGAAACTTTGCATTGCAAAATTTACCGAATATTTTGGAAAATTACTTTGGTTATAAGTTATGCTTCCTTGAACGAGACATTATTCCAGGAGGATGTAAGTGTTAAATGTTACAAGCTTTTCTAGTTTCTCCAGTATAATTGCAAAAGGCATCAGTTCAGGAATGCAATACATCAACCTCGCTGCCATGTAGTAAATAATTTCTAGATAACCCTTTTAGGTAGGCGGGTAGGTATATGCCACATACAAAGAGAGTTATGAAGCAATAAGGGGCCCTGCTATGTCTATGCTCCACTCCCTTACCTGACCTTTGCATATATAAGTGGAAATACATATTTTACAATACACAGGGTTATTCACCAAAGTGAGAAAACAAGGTGAATTCAAAGTTAATTTCCAAATTAAGTTCAAAATGGCCGAACTGGAAAATTTCTCTAAGTCACTAATGCTTCCATTTTATCTACTTTGGTCAGAAATTTAAAATTCGCTTTGAATTTTCAATGTAGTGAATAACACTGATAGAGTTTTAATAGAGATTGAAATAAATGGTATGGTGAATTTCCTTTACTAAACGGCAACTTGGAAAAAAACAACACTTTCCACATCTAACCAGGCTGAAAATGTCGTATTTCTGCAAGAATAAAGAGAGTGCTTAAAAAAGATTTTGCAAGTAGCCATGCAGCTTACAAAAACCTGGAATAACATATACTGAGATACATGCAAATACAACTTCATTAATCAAACATGCACTAATTCCCTCTGTATGTTCTAATTAATGCTTTCACAGCAACAGTAGATGATATGGACTCCTATCTTGAAAAATGCAGAAGGCTTATCATACTCCTGAGCAAGAACTACATATCTGACAAAGCAATGTATGAGCTTGAAAGTGGAATGCACAAAGCCATGGTAGAACGGAAGATTAAAGTTATAGTGATTGAATTTACGTCACTAAATGAACGTATTAAAGTCATGCCAGAGTCTCTGAAACTTTTAAAAGCCAGCAGTCGAGTTAAATGGAGAAAGAATCAGTCGTTTTCGGTGAAATCCAGATTCTGGAAAAAAATCCGGTACCTAATGCCAGCCAAGCCATTCGAGCCGAAAATGTCATATTCATGTGAATGTTAGTTTATGCTGTTTCGTAATGTTATGATTTGTAAACAAACTAAATAGAATAATAGAAAGATAAACACAAGTTTGGTGCTCACTCTACAAAATAAAGAACAGGTTTTTATAAATAAAAGCTATACATAACGTGTAGCAGTTTGGCAATGCATGTACAGTTTCAAGAAAAAGTATGTGAACCCTTTGGAATGATATGGATTTCTGCACAAATTGGTCATAAAATGTGATCTGATCATCATCAAGTCACAACAATAGACAATCACAGTCTGCTTAAACTAGTTACACACAAAGAATGAAATGTTGCCATGTTTTTATTGAACACACCATGTAAACATTCACAGTGCAGGTGGAAAAAGTATCATGGTGCTAATTACAAACCTCACTTTCTGAATTGCTCAACCTACCTGGGAGCAAAAATTACAGTGATAAGTTTGTAACTTCAAATGATGCTGTTACTACCCATATGTTTTTCCTATTTGTGTTCTTAATGTTATGTATTTTACTTGAAAACATTTGTAAATATAAAACTACATGTAAAAATAAAAATACTTTTGCTTTATGTTGGCATAAAATTAGCTAGATGATTTGCATTTTATATGAGAATAATCACTGCATACATGTATTTGATTTATGTGTGTTTTGTAATGAAATAAATAAAAAAGAAAGCCATTGGTTTTATATTTTCATACATATATTACCTGCCATTGGTTATCTACAGGCAAATGCAGAATGCATTTAACCCTTTGAGTGCCAAAGACATGACAAACTCCCTGGCACCTAAAGAGTCATTATCCATTGCATTGTTTCATATTAAAACCAAGGCTGGCCAATTAAATTGTTCTAGATATACATTTAGGTCTAGAAATATGTGGACACTGACACAATTTTCATAGTTTTGGCTCTGTACACCACCACATTGGATTTTAAATTAAACAACCGAGATGTAAGTGCAGACTTTCCGCTTTAATTCAAGGAGTTGAATATTGTTTAAAACTTTTAGGAATTGCAACTATTTTCATACACAGTCCCCTTATTTCTGAGGCACAAACGTAATTGGACAATTTAGGACAATAATAAAACGTCAATAAATAAAATGTAAAATTTCAAAACAGGTTATTCTGGTACAGGTTGATCTTTTTTCAGTTTCTGTCCAAAAGATGATATTCCAGAACTGGGCTGACATTTTTAGATGTTTTTTGGCAAAGTCTAATCTGGCCTTTTTATTCTTAAAGCTTATGAATAGTTTGCACCTTGTTGTGAACCCTCTGTATTTGCTCTCGTGAAGTCTTCTCTATATGGTAGACTTGGATGATGACATGCCTACCTACTGGAGAACGTTCTTTACTTGCTGTGAGGGTATTTTTCTCCTTGACCGCATTTTGTGGGTTCAGAGCAACAGCTTCAAACTGTAAATGCCACACCTGGAACCAACTCCAGACCTTTTACCTGATTGATGAAGAAATTACTAAGGAATAGCACACACCTGTCTATTTTTAAATAGCTTTTTTTAAATTAAATTCTTTATTTTGTCGTGCATGGAAAATACAAAGAGGCTATTGCTAGCATGTTAATCAACATTTAGAGACATTTTTTTGGCATCCAATACAATGCACATTTTATATTATGATGTAGAATGATCAAGAGGTAAACTAACATGTTAGCTACCAGACAAGGCAGGTGTGTGAACGTACTGACAGTTTTGAAAGATTATGGGAAGGTAAGCTTATATTGTACATTTCCTATTTTCACTATTTGTAAGATACAAGGTTTGAAATGTCTAGCTACTGTCAGCTTTATCTTCCTAGGAGCTCCCACCCATGGCAGCCCCGTACTCCCCCCCGTAGATCTGTAGATCTGCTGAATTGTAGCATGTAGATCTGCTGAATTGTATATTGTGATACATGAGTAATCAATACAGAAAAACTAAACAAAAAAACACACTACTCAAAAGGTAGCTTCGTTCATGCGGGTTTATGTGCCGGCGGGATGTTGCGTCTCTTGCTGTGCCATTTTCTGGTTTGCTGCATTCGGCTTGGCATGCTTCCGAACCACGAGTGAGAGGGCAGCACCTTTGTTAAGTACTCGACTGGAGTTTGTTCCAGAAGGCCTTCAATAAGGCATCCAGCCGCAACAGAATGTAAAGTTCTTGTGTTGTGACGGATGTCTCCGAGACAGTCGCCGCCATTTTGCGGCTAGCAGGTCTCGGTTGGGGTTGCTGCCACAGCGTCTGAGGGGGCCTTCCTGGGAATGAGGGTCCATATTCAAGATGTCAGCCGTTGGAGGAGCGGCAGTCTCCCCCACGCTGACCATGCTTGTAGGCTGTGTTTTTTTCTCCTGGGGTTCCTGCAGGTTATGCTGCATGTTTGGTGCCAGCATGTAGCCTCTGCAATAAGCTCCCAGTTGGTGGCCTATTTGATTCGTTATAGTTCCGTTTAGGGTTTCTAAGCATGAAAATTTGCGTTGAGGAGCAGGAGCAGCTCTATCCTGCATTAGCTCAGCTCTGCGGTCAGGCCCCGCCCCCCCTATACAAAAACAGCTTTTGAGTCAATTGTCCAAAATATGGAGAGGGCAGAAGGAATTGGGTATGTGAAAAAAGGTAGGATTACTAAAATGGGTATGGGGGATTAGAATGGGGAGATTAAAAAGATGAATGTAGTATTAATGCTATATGTTCCTCGTTTGAGTTTTACATAGCTGATAGAAATGTTCCTCTAGTGGTATAACCTATTTGTTGTCTGACTCAATGAAATGTCACAAAGATCCATGTGGTGCACAAGTGTGATATCACATACATACATACATCCTTGTTCCCTTAGAGCAGGGGTGTCCAAAAGGTAGATGCTTTGGTAGCCTTTAGAATGCTTTAGAATACTTTAGAATGACCATACATCATAGGAGCTGTAGTTCTACATCTGGAGATCTACCTTTTGGACACCCCTGCCTTAGAAACTACTGGGTTTCACAGTTACTTGTAGCTTTAGAGGTCCTAGTTGAAACTATGCATTTTAAATCTATACTTATATAATACAAATTTCTTTTTCCTGATAGGCAGGTCCCCTCCAAAGTTGATTGCAGCAATTCCTGTTAATGTGTACTGTGAAAACAGTCTGTCGACTTTTAAATACTTTCTTTCATTAGTTGTTGAATTGTAAGTAGACATACCTCCTGGTTTACCATTCATCCTCACATCGATGTGTATGCATATGCATACCCTGACTTATGTGTCTAATTATTATTATCTGAACTCAAACACCCACCTGGCATTGATCTGTGAGTGCAATTAGCACTTTCTAATGCTATACCAAAGGCTTACAATTTACACTTCCATATGGTAGGCCAAGCAAGAGATGATTGATTAGAAAAAAATGATTGATGGTTAGGAGACTGTCACTAAGGATTTTATTATCAGTGTAATGCACAATATATGCATATTTTTTTAGTTTGTCCTAATGGTTTCACTGGATTATTTGCATGGATTGCCAGAACTAAATTGTATTTTCAGGTGAAGTGATTCAGCACAACCAAGTATTTCTGCTATGCACAAGTCTATTTATAACTCATGTCAGTTGTTGCTGGTGGCAACGCACAGGTCTCTGTATGTGTTCATTCATACTATACAGGTTATTTTCATTAAGTTATCAGCCTTAATATATCATGTTTATTTATATTTCATTCTCATTATCAGTAGGACCATCCACATAATCTGTGAGTTTAAAGTGCAAAAAAAGTCCATCCCTCTCCTGAGCAAGTCATTAATGACAAAATAAAACACAACATTTAGATAAAGTGGAACATCAGATTTACATATTGCCTAATGGGTTTCTTTGGTTGAGCTACCAACAGTAGTTGCTCAATTTCCTGCCTGCCATCAAGATAATGAGACACGTATTGAGATTCACAAAATATACCAAGATTTCCACTAAATGAAGGTAGATTATGCTGTATTAGTTGGAGGTGTGAAAAGTCATACTTGAGGTAAAACTCTAATTGGGAAATATTTTCTGTCTGAATGAGTAAGCCGTAGGAGTTTTTAAGAAATAACCTTTAGTAAGTAAAGTTTTCCATAACACTATTAAATGAAAATGTGCATTTAGCATCTCAAGAGACAGATGGACATTGAACGAGAGAGAGATACACAGACAAGCTGGACAGTTGCAACCATTTAGACAAAAAGCTCCAGGGACATTTTGTGACAAGTATTCAAGCTAATGGCTTTCCACAGATTTAATCACTTTGCTCCATCCAAAAATAACCATGTATGGTTCATCTTCCCACAGCCACATGCTCATACACAGCACATCTCCCACTACATCATTCTCACACTACATATTTCCCAGCACATCTCACTCTACAGTCACATTCCTCTCCCAGGACAACAATCTAAATGAATCATGTCTCAAAAGACAGAGAGTGGATCTCCCACAGCCACATTCTTCCCCTAGCATCTACCTCCCTGCAGCCACATGTTTCCATACCTTTTGGGTGCAGGAAGATGGCTTCCTGGGGTTCAGTGAAAGCTGACTGTGGCTGGCTTAAGGAATTGTGTGCTGTTAAAGGTTATGTTCCCCTCCATTCTTTCCATGCACCCAGGCTCTCTCTGCATTAGAAAGAAGTGTAATCACTTCCTCTCAGCATAGCTGCCATACCGTAAAACATGCCTCCCAACCATTCCAATTTTGGTAGGACATTCCTAATTTTTGTATCCTGCCTCGTCGTTCCAACCATGGAACCATCCCCAAAATGTTAAATGCAAACACATCATTAAATCCAGCATAAATTAAATAGTGCTCCCTGCAAGTCTTGCCCTCAGGGGGCCAGCAGGCCTTATTGAAAGACAGGCAGCCTGACATGGATTCACATTAGGCTGACCTGCCAGTAATTTCGGCGGATACTCTGCTATTCCAGGAAGGATCAACCTCTTTAGGCAGAGCCAGAGACACAATTGCATCACTGACCTGCCCCTTTTACCTCCTCCCACTGGTCAAACTTCCATATACCAGGGGCTCAGTCCTGTGCTCTTGAAAGTGGTAACCTCTTTGATGAACCGCCTGGCACCCTGACTGGGTGCTTCCACCAATCGCTGCTTCCTAGCTGTCTGAGTACCATAAGCACCACACTGGACAAATTAAGCACTGTAGCACCTTAGCCGCCGCAGTTTGGCTGGGGTCTTGCCGTCCCTTCTCACCTTGAACCAAACTCCTGGATCCAGCTTCCAGTGAGAAGACCTCTCCTCCAAGAGAGTATAGCAGGTATAGCAGTGTAGCTCTTACAAGAGCTAGTGATTATAATCCAAGGGAGTGAATATAGCTGTCCCCTCCACACATGAGATGAGGCTCTATGTTGAGGGTGAAGAGGAACTCCTTTATCTGTGGCCCCAACTGGCCTTATATGTAGGTCCCCATGCAAGGGGCACACCCCCATGGACCTGAGAGTAGACTACAGTAAAAACATACACACGATTACATTGGCTCTCGGGTCCAGGACACTCCCATACAAAATAGGTCAATCCCTCCCCTGTGCCTTGGGAACTGTACTAAACTCAATTATCTCCAGGCACAGAAAACATAAATTTTTACAAAATC